AAAGAACTCATTCCACTGCCTTTTTTCTTCCAGTGTGGTCAACAAGTCAAGTTGTACCAGTTTGGGGAAATACTCCATGTGTATTTAAAACTAGTGTTCTTTGGATGGTGCATTCACCTCTTTAAGCCTTTTTATTATATGGTTTAGAGTTTGTATGTCCTTTTAACTTTCTCTGTACTTGTACTGTCAAATTCAGAGAGCTGTTAATTGTATTATATATTTTGCTACTACATACATTTTTATTAATGTAAAAGTGAAATATAGATCCTTGTTGCAAATTGTATTTGCAGTACAGTCCATCCTTCATTTTGCCACTTAGTGCTTTTAATCTTGAATTCTAATTTTTCTGATATTAATATAAAGTGCCCTGTTTTTGTTAGTTTATAAAACTATGGTGTATCTTTGCTTATCCTTTTTAAAAATTGCCATTTTAAGTGTGTCACTGTAATCAGAATTAGTTTCCTTTTTTAATCAATTTTAATAGAATTTAATCCATTCTCATTTATGATCATTCATATGTCTGCTCTTATTTCTGCTATCTTATTTTATATTTTCTGTTCCTCATTCTTTTTGTTTCCCTCACATTTTATTGCCTTTCAAGCAATTTAGAAGTACAATAATCTTTAACTTGACTTTTAAGAAATGTGCTTAAACCTGCATTTCTCTTCCCACCTAAAGACTGAAATAGGATTTTTTTCCATTTAGTAAAATTTTTTTTTAATATTTATTTGTTATTTAATTATTTGGCTGCACAGGATCTTTAATTGGTAGTACAGAAGCTCTTAACTGCAGCATGTGAGATCTAACCCAGGGATTGAACCAGGCCTCCTGCAATGGGAGCTCAGAGTCCTAGCCACTGGACCATCAGGGAAGTCCTTCTTTCTGGTAAAGTTTTTCTCCAAAATATTTTTATTTTGAAATCATTTTAATTTAGACTTGTAGAAAATTTACAAAATTATTACAAGGAATTCCAAAATACCCTCCACTCAGCTTCCCAGTGTTAAAATTGTATGTAATTATAGTATAGTTATCAAAACCAGGACATTAACATTGGTATAGTACTATTAACTGATCTACAGATCTTATTAGAATTTCATCAGTTTTTCCTCTATTGTCCTGCTATACCAGGATCCAGTCTGGGATCCCACATTGCATTTAATTGTTGGGTCTACTTAGCATCCTCCACTTGTGACAATTCCTGTCTTTCATGAGCTTGATCCTTTTGATGAGTACTCTTTTGGAGAATGTCTCTCACTTGCGTTTGTCTGATATTTTCTACAATTAGATTGAGGTTATGCATCTTTAGCAGGAATACCACAGAAGTGATATTGTGTCCTTCTCTGTGCATCATATTGGGGGTTACAACCCCCAATATGATGTTAATATTACTGGTAGTGTTAACTTTGATCAACTTGGTTAAGGTTTCTTCCATATTTCTTTCCTGTAAGGTTACTGCTTTTCCAACTGTAATTAGTAATTATCTTGGAGGGAGATACTTTGCAGCTACATAGATATTGCTGTTTCTCCTCACTTTGCCCACTATAATTTTAGTATTCTTCTTGTCTATAACAGTTAATACAGTAGTGTTGCTATGTGTTGATTTTGTGTCCCTTATTGTACCCTGCATTTTTTAATTGGAATTCTTCTGTATGGAAGGGCTTTCCCTACCCCCTTTCCCATTCATCTGCTTATTCAGAGATTTACTTCTATCAGTATAGGCTATTTATTTATTTATCCTATGAGTTGTAGTCCAGAAATATGATTGATTGTTTTGTTGTTCAAATTGCTCATTGGGAAAGCTTTGGCCATTTCGGAACATCTTCAGGTTGACTCCTAGGTTCTTTTGGCATTCCCTCTTCCTGTTTTTGACTACTTCCTTATTTTCTGGTGCTTACAACATATTCTGGGTTTATCCTGTATCTTTCTTGCCTCACTCCTGAAATCAGCCACTCCTCAAAGGAGACCTGGTTTCTTTTATTGGTGGATGGTATGGAATAGTATCTTTGAAATTCTTTTTCTGAGCAAAGTAAGACCTTAAGACCTTTATCACCTTTTACTCTACTATGCCCTAGACCAGGAGTTGGCATACTACAATCTATGGGTCATATCCAGCTTGTGGCCAGTTTTTGTACCATCCACAAGCTAACAATGGCTTATACATTTCATAAGAGTTTAAAATTATATATATGTGACAGAGACTTTATGTAGTCCACAAAATCTAAAAAAAATTTACTATGTAGGCCTTAGCAGAAAAAGTTTTGTCAACCTCTGCTTGGATTCACCCCATTCTAATCTTGTTTTAGTGATCTGAAATTCTTGCTTCATACTGTCATTTCTATAATTTATAAATGTATAGATTGCATTATTCTTAACAGTAATGATATAAGTCAGTCATCTGTGCACTGTGAACTATGGGCCAAATCTGTCCTGCCTATGAGCCTGTTGAATTCTGTAAATGCCTTCTAAGAGAGGCATATACATAATTAAAATCATATGCTTATGGATTTATATCAGTATTTGGCAGTACTATCTATATGAAACATGTTCAAAAGTGAAATACATAAAATCTGATTACAGATCAGCACTAACAGATAAATATTTACCATCAATTCTGATGCTGGAGAACACTAACCTTGAACTCCAGTTAAGTGAAATGTTACCTCCCACAGAAAAGAATTCTATGCTTCTCATTCTTTGACCTGTATTACAAAAAAAAAAATTATTATGCTTTGAATTTCATCAATAAAAAATGTGTAGCAATTTGTTTTCTTATTACGTAAGTGCCTACATAACATCCTCATTTTTGTCTCTTGAACCACAAAGCCTAAAATAATTATCATCTGGCCTTATAAAGCAAAGTTTTCCAACCCCTGATTCAGAGATACAGTTGAAAGTCCATGTTTGAGGACAAAAGTATATATAATCAAAACTATATTTGCCATGCACTTAAATTAGACTAAAATTACCAAGACATTTGTACTTCAAAGCTCAGAAACCGAGAACCAGATTTCTGGTTTTCTTTATACTTGGCTCTATCTTACATTTCCCTGGAAGACTAGACTCCAGAGTTAAGACTGAATAGACACGATACATTGAGTTACTCAGTGTTTTCTTTCTGTGTGTATTAGTTTCCTGCCCTTGTATAACACATTACCACAAACTTGGTGGTTTAAAACAACACATGTATTTTCTCACAGTCCTAGAGATTAGAAATCCAAAATATATCTCACTGGGGTAAATTCAGGGTGTCCAAAGGGCTTATTCCTTTCTGTAGGCTCTAGGTAAAGATCGTTTTTCTTGCCCTTTTCCAGCTTCTAGAGGCCACCTGCATTTCTTGGATCATAGCCCCCTTCCATCTTCTTTTTTTTTTTTAATGGCTACACCACACAGCTTGCAGGATTGACCAGGGAAACCCACACCCTGGGCAGTGAAAGTGCTGAGAGCTTTTTGAAAATGTGTTTTAATCCAAGACCTGAAGAGAAAATCAGCCATGTAGAGGGTCCAGGACAGGATTCCTGATAGAGATCTAAGATGGAAAGATGGAAAAGACCTAGATTTATTCTATATGCTCAAAGGAGGGCTGTGGTTTGTTACCTAGGGTGGAAAGGGGAGAGTACTCAATTTGAAGATGCATTGTCCTTGATGGAGATAGAGCAACAGAATGACCACAAAGACAAGCAGGGACCTGCTTTGCCAAAAACCTGTGAACCGTAGCGTTGAATTTGAAATTTATTCTAAGTGCAGTGGGGAGGCTATGAAAAAGTTTAAGCAGAGATTTTCATTTGATTGGTACTAGCATCACATGGTGGAAAGTGTTAAAAATATAGATGCCTTATTTGTATGAAATGCCCTGAAAAGGCAAATCCATAGAGAATTAGTGTTGCTCTGCCATTAGTGATTGCCAGGGGCTGGAGGGACTGCAAAACGGGGAGTGGCTGCTTAATGGGCACAGGGTTTCTTTCTTTTTATTGAAATACAGTTGATTTACATGTTTTGATAGTTTCTCCTGTATGGTAAAGTGATTCTGTTATATATATGTCTGTGTGTATGTATATGTATATTCTTTTTCATATTCTTTTCCATTATGGTTTATTACAGGAAATTGAATATAGTGCTATACAGTAGGACCTTGTTCTTTATCCATCTTGTATATAAGAGTTTGCATCTGCTAGTCCCAAACTCCCAGCCCAACCCTCCCCCGCTCCCCCTCCGTCTCAGCAACCACAAGTCTGTTCTCTGTGTCTGTGAGTCTGTGGCACAGTGTTTTTATTTGGAGTGATGAGAGTGCTCTGGAGCTAGGTAGTGACAGTGATTGCCTGACACTGGAAATGTACTCTAAACCACTGAATTGTACACTTTAAAATGATTAAATGAGAAATTTCACATTATGTGAATCTTAACTTTGTATTTCGAGAAGTATGTACACACATGTCTTGTGCCTACACCTGAAGATTTTGATTCAGTGTGGGGTGGTTCTTGAAGAACATTTCTTTTGTTACAAGGCTTTCTGGATGATTCTGTAGCCTGGCAGAACTAAGAACCACTGGTTTAACTTGTTTTCTTGTTCCTTTCTGGCACCATGTGAGGTCTCATCATATCTGTGCCTTCCTGTGCTTTTTAGACATTGCACAGCAATATTTGAGGCTTACACAAGCAGCTCACCAGTTATGGTGATTATTTTCATTTTGTCTCTCTAATCTACTGGAGAATTTTCAGATTTCTCTTAGAGGGAGAGAACAAGTTGTATTTACTTTTTGTCATTTTGCAGACTTGGAGTCAAGGTGTAAGACATTTCTGCAGAAAGATACCTTTGAAGTCGTGTCATTCAACTGGGAGCTAATGGAAAGCCTTCAGTGCTATGATGAAGACTGGGCATACAAAGGCCAGTTTGAAAAACAACAAATAAATCATGAGTGCTGTTTTAAGCAAGTGAAGATCACCTATGGAAACATGCCCACTTTTGAGTGTGGGCATACATCACTCACCCTACATCCCAGCAGTGAAACTGGTGAGAAATCGATTGAATGTAATGAATGTGGGAAAGCATTCAGCCGTGGCTCACACCTTATTCAACATCAGAAAACTCATACTGGTGGAAAGCCCTTTGAATGTAAGGAATGTGGGAAGGCCTTCAGTCGTGCCTCACACCTTGTTCAACATCAGAGAATTCATACAGGTGAGAAACCTTATGACTGCAAGGAGTGTGGGAAGGCCTTCGGTCGAACTTCAGAACTCATTCTCCATCAGAGACTTCATACAGGTGTCAAACCTTATGAATGTAAAGAATGTGGAAAGACCTTTCGACAGCATTCACAGCTTATTCTGCATCAGAGGACTCATACAGGTGAGAAACCCTACGTCTGTAAAGACTGTGGCAAGGCTTTTATTCGTGGCTCACAACTTACTGTTCATCGGCGAATTCATACAGGTGCTAGACCCTATCAGTGTAAAGAATGTGGGAAGGCCTTTAGACAGCATTCACAACTTACCGTACATCAGAGAATTCATACCGGGGAGAAACCCTATGAATGTAAGGAATGTGGCAAGGGCTTTATTCATAGCTCAGAAGTTACTCGACATCAAAGAATTCATTCTGGGGAGAAACCCTATGAATGTAAAGAATGTGGGAAGGCCTTTAGACAGCATGCACAACTTACACGACATCAGAGAGTTCATACAGGTGACAGACCCTATGAGTGTAAGGACTGTGGAAAAGCCTTCAGTCGTAGTTCATACCTTATTCAACATCAAAGAATTCATACAGGTGACAAGCCCTATGAATGCAAGGAATGTGGGAAAGCCTTTATTCGTGTTTCACAACTGACTCATCACCAGCGAATTCATACTTGTGAGAAACCCTATCAATGTAGGGAATGTGGAATGGCCTTCATTCGTAGTTCACAACTTACTGAACATCAAAGAATTCATCCTGGTATCAAACCTTATGAATGTAGAGAATGTGGGCAGGCCTTTATTCTTGGCTCACAGCTCATCGAACACTACAGAATTCATACTGGCTAGAAAGCCTTGGTGTTAGGGATGTAGGAAAGCCTTTATGTGGAATTCATGCCTCGATCAGTAGTAAATAATGCATAATGTAATTATTGTCAGAGAACCTTCATTTGTCACTTCCATTATGGAACGTCAGGTAACTCATACCAGAAGAAAATTCAATAAATGTGGGAATTCTTGTTGCCTCATACTCACTGTTTACTAAGGGAATCAGGGAGCTTATACTGAAAAAAATTTAATATGAATATAGAAAAGCCTCATATTACCACTCAAAATATATTAAACTATGAGAATTCCTAATAAAAAATGACCCTATTAAAATATTTTATGGCTGTGCCTTTTGCCATTTACCTTATTTAATTAAAATTATCTCACTTCCACCAATTATTGACTATACAACATTGCACAAATTATGCAGTGTCTGAGTTCCTCAGTTTACTTATTTTTAAGCAGTGATAATTATGTGTATCTAATAGAGTTTTTGTGAGGACTGTCAGAAATTTTACATAAGCCCATGCTCAATAAATACTAGTTATTGTCATTAATTAATAACAGTATTACTGTTAAGGACATAAGTCCTAGGGTGGCTCAGATGGTAAAGAATCTGTCTGCAATGCCGGAGACCCGTGTTCGATCCCCGGCTCAGGAAGATCCCCTGGAGAAGGAAATGGCAACCCACTCTAGTATTCTTGCCTGGAGAACCCCATGGACAGAGGAGCCTGGTGGGCTACAGTCCACTGGATCTTAAAGAGTCGGACACGACTGAGCGACTAAGCATACATACATATTACTATTAAGGAGTTAGGAGTTCATCTAAGAGGTGGGCCTTATGAATATGTCAAATGTGAAAAAACCTTCAAAACTACCTCTTCTGAAAAACAGTAGCAAAGTAATTATCATGAGAAGATGTTCATTGAAAGGGTTGTAAAATTTCAAGATTAGAAATGGGACAGAAGAGTAGTCAAAAAAAATCTGCCCAACTAAGGAATCTAAAACCACCTCCAAGTATAACTTCAAGAGAATCAAAACTAAGATTACAAACTAGAAGTGAATGGCAGTGAATTCTGCATATCAAAACCAGTTCATGGGACTTCCTTGGTGATCCAGTGGTTAAGAACATGTACTTGCACTGCAGGAGGCATGGGTTTGATCCTGCATGCCGCCTGATATGGTCAATAAATAAACAGTTCAGTGTAACCAAAGCTGTACTTCTATCAGAACCCAAGGTATAAAAGTAGATTAAAGGATCCAAGTAAATCTCCAGCATCTATTCCTTGCCAATCCCATACTAAACACATTAAGTGAATGGTCAATTCAAAGGGGAAATTATCACATCAACCCAAGTTAACAGTAAGAATGATTATTAAAAATAAAAGAACAAGCCAATAAAATCAGAAACAACAGTAGACCTAAACTGAAAGTTAACAGCAGACCTCCCCTGGTGGTCCAGTGGTAAAGAATCCACCTGCCAGTGTAGGGAACATGGGTTTGGTCCCTGATCCAGGAAGATTCTTCATGCCCCAAGGCAACTAAGCCATTGTGCCACAACTACTGAGCAGCCCACGCACCACAACTAGAGAAAGCCCATGGGCAACAATGAAGACCCAGCACAGCCAAAAATAAAAAAATACACAAAATTGTTAAAAAAAATTTTAATAGACATTGAGAATGCTGATGTAGGAAAAAAAAGACATTTAGCAATATGAAGGAGGAGGGGGTATTTTTTAAAAATAGCTACTATGCATGACTATTTAGAAATCTAGAAATAATGGATTTTTGTAAAAATATCAAAATTGATTTAAGAAAATATGGGATTTCTGAACAATCAGTGATTGTGGAAGAACATAAAAAGTCATCCAAGCTCTGTCTCTTTAGAGAAAACAGTTTAACCTACAAAACCTTAAAGAACAAATAATCCCTGAGAGAAGCTTGCCAGTTCATCATCAAGGCTAAATAAAATTATGATTAAAGAAACTCAACAAGGATAGCTCCTGAAGAACAAACTGTAGATAATTATCATTTGTGAAGATAAATAGAATTCCAGTTAATTTGATCCAGTTTATCAGCATTAATTTTAGATGGAATGTCTGGAATTGTACCCATTTCTGGATTAAATACTCAGTTCAGTCACTCAGTCATGTCCAACTCTTTACGACTCCATGAACGGCACACCAGGCCTCCCTGTCCATCGCCAACTCCCGGAGTCCACCCAAACCCATGTCCACTGAGTTGGTGATTCCATCCAACCATTTCATCCTCTGTCGTCCCCTTCTCCTCCTGGCCTCAATCTTTCCCAGCATCAGGGTCTTTTCAAATGAGTCAGCTCTTCACATCAGGTGGCCAAAGTATTGGAGTTTCAGCTTCAACATCAGTCCTTCCAATGAACACCCAGGACTGATCTCCTTTAGGATGGACTGGTTGGATCTCCTTGCAGTCCAAGAGACTCTCAAGAGTCTTCTCCAACACCACAGTTCAAAAGCATCAATTCTTTGGTGCTCAGCTTTCTTTAAATATTAGAATTTTGATATCGTAACTCCAGGATATGATGGTGATGGGGAAAAAGACCTTGATCCAACTCCAGGGACATCCAGTTCAGGGCCTATGAATGAATCTGAGAATCTTAGAAAACACATTCCCTCAGCCCTCGTGGTAGCCTAGGGCAGAATACCCATTGCACCCAGTGTCTGGGGCAGAATGTTCATTGCACCCTAATGCCATCCATCTTCTCAGTCATCCTGAGTATTCAGTCAAAACACCTGCATTTTCTATGTATACCATTGCCTACAAAGGGTTTAGAAAGCAGTGTGCTGTATGTCATTTTTCTTTAAGTGGCTTAATGATTAGGCTATACAGTTGGAAGGGCTCAAAGCTATGACATTAAAAATTATCTCTCATGGGACTTCCCTGATGGGTTGGGCCTTCCCTCATAGACCATTGGTAAAGAATCCCCCTGCAGTGCAGGAAACCCCAGTTTGATCCCTGGGTCAGGAAGATCTGCTGGAGAAGGGATAGGCTGCCCACTCCAGTATTCTTGGGCTTCCCTTGTGGCTCAGCTGGTAAAGAATCTGCCAGCAATGCGGGAGACCTGGGTTCGATCCCTGGGTTGGGAAGACCCCCTGGAGAAGGGAAAGGCTACCCACTCCAGTATTCTGGCCTGGAGAATTCCATGGACTATACAGTCCATGGGGTCACAAAGAGTCGGACATGACTGAGCAACTTTCAGTGGTTAAGACTCTGCTTCCATTGCAGGGGGCACAGGTACCATCCTTGGTCAGGAAACTAAGACCCTGCTTGCCAAGGGACACAGCCACAAAAAAGAAAAATAACTCTGAATAGTTTAGACGCAGGCAGAGGATAAAAAATTTTCAAGTTAAATTTTGTATCCACGTAAGTGAATCTTCATACCTTCTTCTCGCCCTGTCCCCCTTCATGTAGCAATCACTGCTGTCAGGTTCATGCATATACTTCCTGATTTCTCTGTTTGCTTAAGTGTAAACATACACATAACACTCTTTATAAAAATGTTTTACATACATGGTAGCAAATTTCCGTACATTTCTATGAATAGTTTTGCTTAGCCATATACCTTAAAGATTGGACCACATCAATGCATAGTGGCCTTATTCTTTTGTAACAACTGCATAGTATTCCATATGTTTCATAATTTAACTTCATCAATTTAGTTTTTATTAATTTTTGCTCTTTCCAACAATCCAATAATATCCTTGCACCTACATTATTTTATGTATGTGTAATATATCCTTAAGATGAATTTCTAAAAGTGGAAATGTTAGATCAAAATGTATATAGTTTTTAAAAGCTTTCTATCCTCACAGACTCTTACAATGTACCCAGTGCTCCTATGACCAACTTCAGTAATTACCATTTTATGGCCAGGCTTGTTTTATCTGTATTTCCACCAACTCCTCCAACTCCATGTTGTTTTTGAAATGAAACCGAGATATATCATTTCAACTATAAAAATTTTAATATGTATCTCTAATAAAATATATCACAATTTTACAAAAAATTTTCACACCTTAAAAAAATTGAGAGTACTGCCTTAATGCTATTACATATCTGATAGGCAGTGTTCCTTTCTGATTGTTTCATGAATGTCAATTTTTTAAAAGTTAATCAGGATCCAAATAATGTCCAAAAATTGTAGTTGATTGTTTTTTTTTAAGCCTCAGTCTATGCGTTCTCCTTTATCCTTGTTTTTGCCTCCAGCAATTTAATTTTTGAAAAAGCTATTTTGTTTGCCTTAAAGTTTCTTAGACCTTGGTTTTTGCTGGCAGATCCCAGTGGTCAGTTTAACCTGTTCCTCTATCCTTGGTATTTCCTATAAGTTGGTACTTGATATCAAGGATACATTGAGGTTCAATTTTTGTTGTTAAGATTTCTTATAAGTGGTTAATATTGAAAGGCATAATATTTAGGTGTCTTTTTATGATGTATCAGCCATTGATGTTCAATTGATAAATCTGTTAATAGGGACTACAAAATGATATATTATTCCTTTTCCCTTTTTTAGTTAGAATACTTTTATAAAGAAAAACGTCCCCTGAACTGCTGTTTGGTTACCCATGTAAAGAAAGACAAGTTTCCAAAATAATGAGCTGGTTCTCTAGCCGACTGCCATGGTAACCAGTGAGTTTAGGGTGGTGTGTATGTGAAACATATTCAGTACATTTAAATCTATGTAAGCTGTACTCTCATTGATGCTCAGATTGTCCCCTGTGTGCTTTGACACAGGAGTGTCAAAAAGGACACTTGTCTTTGATCACTGGCCTGGTGTCTGCCACAGTAGGATGTCCCAGGCTCGTCTTTTTCATTTCCCTAGTTCCCACCTTGATGTAGCCATTTTCTAAGGAGTCCTTTTTCTTTCTGGTAATTTGGTACTTTCCAAAATGGTATTTAGAAACCACAGTCACTAGTTGTACGTCATTCTGCTGTTTGGACTTTTTTTTTTATAAATGCACATTTTAGGCCATTTTCTATAAATCACT